AGAGCAGTTTGGTTTAGCCACTTACTCCCTCTTCTCAGGCTCCTCCTTAGACTATCTGAAAACATTGACTGAAAGCGCTTCCAAAACCAATCCCAAACCCCGCAGCACAGTCTGCTCCCCTGCAGGGCTTGGGCTCCACTGGATTTCACCCTGAGACAGGAACTCAGCTTCCTTGGTGAGAAGCTTCCTGGATGAGGGCTCTGAAATCTCACTGGGTATAAATGTTAGCTCTGCCACTTCCTAGCTCTGCCACATGGGAAATTACTGTCTCTCTAAAGCTCGTTTTCTAGCTGTGAATTGGGAAAAATAACAGTGCCTCGAGGTGGACAGCCTGGTGCAGGGGGTTAAGCAGCTACTTGGAACACCTGTACCCCTGTCAGAGTGCCTGGTTCAAGTTCTGGCTACCCTGCTTCCAATCCAGCTTCCTACCAGTGTTTCTGGGAAGGCAGCAGAAAATGGCCCAGGACTTGGGTCTCTGCTACCCACATGGGAGACCCAGATGGAGTTCTGAGCTCCTGGTCCAGCCCCAGCTGTTGTGGGCATTTGGGGAGTGAATCAGCAGACTGATGATCTTCCTCCCCCATACCCCCTTCTGTGTCATTCTGCCTTTCAAACAAATAAATAAAATTAAAAAAAAAAAGACAAAGTAATAGTGTCTACTTAGTGGGATTTGGGGAGGGTTAAATGAAACCTTGTGCTGAAAGCTTAGCCCAAGACCTGGCCCAGGGCAAGTGCCCAGCAAGAGCAGCTATGGATGTCCATAACCTCAGGACCTGTAGAACTGGTAGAATCCCTACCTATTCATCACCTTCCTGGATGCTTCCTCCATATTTCTAAGATGAAGAAATTGCTTTTTTTAAATCTCTGGATTTCCATGAAGACATACTGTGGGGAGCAACCCGGACTGGACTGAGTTACTGGAATTAAGACTTATTCTATGCATCTGCTCTCCCACAATATGGCGCTGGGAGAGGAGAAAACAGCTTCTACGCAGCTGCCTCTTGCCAACTTGAGTGATGACCTCCAGGAGCTGATCCTGCTCCTGATTGGAGGAGAGCAGCGTACTCGGCGTGTGGGCAGCCGAGTTGGGATTGGCGGAGGAGGACTATAAAGGAGGAGAGAGACGGCATGCACCAGGAACATCTAAGGGGAACATCTGAGGGAACACCTGTGCAGCCCCCGAGAGAGCCGGCCGGTGGTGTGCCGCTCCCCTGCGGAAGTGGGGAAAGTGGCCAGGGGGAACCGCCCTTCCACGGAGGTGGAAGGGATGGTAGCCGACCCGGGAAGAACCAGCAGCAAACCCGGGGAGGGCCGAGCAGACAAAAGAACAGCACAGGGTCCTGTGTCGTTCCTCCGCGAAGAGGGGGAGCGACAACATACTAGCTTTTTATAGTGAAATATGTTGAGTAAACATTTTGTTTGCGGTTTGGGGACGGATAGGAAAGCTACGCTTTGAACTCAGCTTTCACAAATCAAAATTTCCAGGTTTTCAGAAGGAATGCTTGTTCTGCATGGCATCTGGAATTCAAAGCCCTGGTGGGAAATGGGAAATGCTAGCCTTTGATTGTAAATGAACCCTCCAGCTACAAGGGATGCTGCTGTCCAGAGTTACCTCTTGTCTTCCCTCTCCCCTTTTGTAGACTGACTGGGGAGGGCTGGCTGGGGTCCTGAGTCTAGAGGTTGCCCCTGGGGCAGGTGTTGTGGCACTGGATTAAGCACAGCTTGGGATTCAAGCATCTCTCACCTGAGTGCTGATTGAGCAAGGGCTACTCCTCTTCCAACCCACCTTCCTGCTAGATTAAATAAATAAACCTGAAAACAAATCCCAGGGGTTGCCCACACCATCTCCACTGTCACCTGCTGTGCCTTATGAAGTTGTCTCTTTATCATATATGACTACCCTGTGGGCAGGCTCAAGCTTTCACCTAGAGAGCTGCAGTTGTATTTTCTTCTAAGAACATAAGATTTTATCGAGGGTGCTTGAATGTGGCTCCTGGTATTGCCCGCCTTCCATCAGCACCGGTGGCAGATTCTTGCCATTGTTAGCCCGGCTCCTCTCTGCTGAGCAGCTGAGCAGCGGCTCCGGCTCCCTGAGGCTGTGCTGGAATTGGCCGCCACCTTGTTTGTGCAACAGCTGGGGAAGCTGGGCACCATTGATTTGCATCAGTGCCTCAGGAATAGCCCCTGCTGGCTCCTTAAAGATACTATCTAAACTGTGAAATTCATTAAATAGCCCCAGAAATGGATCAGGTTATTTAACACAACATCCCTAATGGCACAATATCTCAGCTGTCTGAGCTGATAGCGGACATTGTCTTGGATAGCGTTATCAGCCCAGGACACCCGCTATGAATATTGATCCTGAGCTTGTTACAGCCATCACTCGCCATCAGGACAGGTCAGGGTTGGAACCCACCTAGCATCAAAGCAATTTAAACACAGCACCCGGGCGGAATTTTAATGCCTGTGCTGGGAAAAAAAAAAAAATCCAACTCCACGCACAGAGGGAAGGTGGCTTGAGGATACGGATCCAGGTTTTATATAGAGGCACTTTGGGTCCAAAGACACGTGTGAGGATGTTAGTGAGTCAAATGCATGGCCGCCCCGTTGTACCTGAAGGGAGGCCTCGTGGTCTGCTGGTCCATTGCAAAGCAGGTGGCCAGGGAAAGAATTTTCTAGAGACTCCTCCTCCAATCCTCCCTAAATTGAAGCGATCACCGTGTCCCGTGGGGCGGGGGGGGGGGCTCTCTTTAAGACGAGCGGGTAAGAGCGTATTTCTATTCCTCCGGTGTGGGTGGGAGGTGTGGCAGCGCTGCCCGTGCACCATCCACAGCTAGAAGCCAAGTGTTGACCCTTGCCCTGCACCAAAAACACGTACCGGAAGCAGACAGGAAAAGACGGGGCGGGAAACATTTTAAAAAGCACTAAAAGGACTTCTTAGAGATTCATGGGTTCTAAGAACATGGCCTGCATATACTCTTGACTGTCTCTGTGGACCTCAGAGAGAGGATGATTTGCAGACTTGACACAGAAACTTGCATGGTGCTTTATACAGTGCCATGCAAATGACCCAGGTTTGGGTCGCTCCTGGCCGCCTGGGGGGAAGGGAGCCCTCTGGAATGCCAGCTGCAGCTCCTGAAAGCCCCTTCTGAGAAAGGGTGAGGAGCGGAAAGACGGAGACGGGAGAAGTGCACTGAGGAAGGCACCCGTGGCACTTCCATTCTGGAGCTCCTTAGAGACCCACTCCTTCCTCACTGTCCTGAGAAACCTACATAGAAACGCTTTACGAAGATGGCTGGGAAAAGGTAGGAGCTGCGGTTGATGGGGAGAGAAGGGGGAAGGAAAAGGGAGATTAAAAAAAAATCAAGTGAGAACTGGGAGAGAAGGAGTTGCACAGAAAACCAGGAAGGCTCTGTGGTTTGCAACCAGGTTCCTGGGTGTCCTGGTTCAGCTGTGCCTTCACTTGGGTGGGAGCCCGACGGGGGACGTGGGCAGGGCACTTCCTGTCCTGAGCTTTAAAGGCCCGTCTTCACTTTGGGCCGGGAGCTGGCTGGGACTTCGGCAGGGCTTTAAAGTCTGCAGGGGATAGGGCGGCCACCTCTGGGAGGAGCAGAAAGGCTTGAATGAGAAAAGCTACAAGGGGCTGGCCTCCGAGGACGCCTCTTCAATAGCGGATGGGACCCGCAGCCCGGCACTTGAATGAGAAGGCTTCTCCTCCTCTTCCTACTCCTTACCTGCCCGGACAATGTGAATTGCCAGGTCATTTGTTTGGAAACCCCATGGGGCAGAGAAGAAAGGGAGGGCAGAGTCCGAGGCTGGTCCAGTGGAGGGAGGGTCGGAGAGAAGCCTCAGAATTTGCCGCTGGAACAGATGCATGGGCTCCGAGGCTGCCCTGTGCTCACCAAGTGACCAAAGAAGGACGGCTAGGGTGGGTGTGGCCAGAGGAACCTGCCACTCCCCTGAGCCTTGCCACTCATCCCCCAGGGACTTCCCGGGAAGCAGATGGGGGCCATTTCATTCTTTCTTACCCAGCCTTAGAGGCAAACCAGGCAGCATCTTTCAACCTGGGAAAGGGTTGGGAGTCAGCAGTGCAACCTGCTCCCCCAGGACACAATTGCTGTTGCAAATGGCAGGATCTGCGGCCATGAGGAAGGCCTGAAGGGCACCAAGGGCTTGGGCGGGTCACAGCCAACGTGGGCAGCGCTTGGGTGATCCCACCTGGCTGGAAGTTTCCCAGGAGGCAGAGCATCCTGGCCAGGGTTTGCTTGTGTCCCTGAAACCCTTGCTGCTCTCTGCCTGGCTGGGCTCCGGGGGTGCAAGGGAAAGACCCAGGCACAGTCCAGGATTTCCCAAAAAAGCACTGGTCCCCCTGCAAGACCTGGGTTCCAACACAGACTCTGTCACCACGTAACCGTGACCTTCAGCAAATCACTTCTCATTTCAGAACCTTAATTTTTTCATCTTTAAAATGGGTGTAGTGGTCTGACCAGGCCACGCTCACCTCACAGGGACGCTCAGGAAATCAGAAGGGGAAAGGCCAGGCCTTTGTCCACTTCGAACTGCGAGAGCACAGGGGCTTTGACACCCAGGGTAAACGGGGCTGAGTGTTACCGCAGTTCCCAGTCGGGGCAGCAGGTGCGCCGCGCACTGCCCTGAAGTCATCAATCCTGAACCGAGGGCCGGTGTATCCGGGAGCGAGCTTTGAATGTGTAGGGGGACACCCGGGACGAAACCCTCCCTCCTGCATTCCGGGTGTCCGTGACGCTTGGGTGGAGGCGCGCGGAGTCACGCTGCCTCCGCGGGCGCGCGCATGGGACGTGCTGAGACCCCCCCGCCCAGCCCAGGCCAGCGGCCCCGCGCAGCGCTAGCGACTTCGCAGGCTGAGAGCGCGCCCTGCACGTGGCAGGGGCCGGAGCCCCGCAAGTGCCAATCGGCTCGCAGCCCCCCACAGCTCTCTCCCGACCCCGCCTTCCCTCCCGCCCCACTCCTCTGCTTCACTTGGCGGCGCGAATCCCGCTCGCCGCTGGAACGCTGCGGCCAGAGCCAGAGTGGAAGGGGCGCGGGCGAGTGGCCCTCCTAGGACCTGCGGGCGGTGGGCATGCTGGCATGGCAGGACGGCGGGGCCAAGGCGGCCCCTGCCCACCACAAGATCTCCTTCTCAGTCCTCGACATCCTGGACCCGCAGAAATTCACGCGCGCTGCGCTCCCTGCCGTGCGCCTCGCTCCCCGGGAAGCCAAGAAAAGTTTGGGGGAGGTCGAAGCGGGAAAGGACGCTAGCCCCGGGCACCTGGTGCGACAGCAGGAATCCCCCGGTAAGAATACGAGGCCCCGGGCCTGGGTGCTGATGTCGCAGAATCTGGGTGTATGTGTGTGTACGGAGGGGGGGGGGACCAGTGTCCAGTGAGTATGGCCCTTAACGGCGTTTTCTCCCAAGAGACAAGGCGCACAGGACCAGGTGCGAAGGTAGCAGTCGGAGCGCGCGCCCGGGAACAGGAGGGAAGCGTACGGGCGGCTCCAGAATTCCGGGCAGGGGTTTGCCGCTGGGGCCTCGTCCCTGCACCACAGCCCTGACTCGTTCGCAGCGGACACTACGCGCACCTGGCGCCCTTCTTTGCCAGGCGCATTCTGGTACCGGACGTCCAATGAGCGGGCCACGCGCCAGGACCTGGGCTGGGCGCTGGGATAAACACTTGGGGATCTGCGAGGCAGACAGCGTCACTAACATCACCCCCATTTTTCGGGCGAGGGAGCCGAGGCTGAGAGTGTGCCGGGGTCTTGGAGGGTGGCGAGCTCAGGTGCCCACTTGGAACCACTCGGAGACACCTGCAGAGCTTGGCTGCCTCGCGCGCCTGCGCTCCCGACTCAACCGCGGCCCGGGCTGGTGTGGGGCGACGCGAAGCCTCGGCACTTCCTTCTCCCAACTCTGACTTACTCCTCACTGGCAGGTGACTGACCGACAGTCCAGGAAAGTTTCTGGTTGGAAGAGGAAGGAACAGGCCTAGTGCTGGGTGCGACAGAGGTTCCCTGGAGGGGTCCGGGAGGTCAGAGGCTCAGGTCCCCAGAGGAAGCCAGAAGCGGTGCAGCCCCCTGCTCCCTCGCCCCAAATTTGGCCATGATTGTCTGGGGGCTCCGGGCGCCTCTGGCTGCCGGCAGGGTAATTGTTCGGACAGTCTCTCGGAGGGGCGCGCGCTCCTCCCGCCACCCGGTGATCGATATTCTATTACTGGCGCCTGCATATCTCCTGCCCGCAGCTTGCAGGTACCGACTTCAAACCCCCTTTCTCTGTCTGATCCTAATATTGTTCGATTAAAACTTACCTTTAATAGATGACATCTATCGATCCGGCCCCGCACAAATCTGAAACTCTATTAACACGGCAGGAGAGAGAAGATGGGAAAGGGGGATTTCTCCTTAAAGCGGGGGGAGCGTAATAACTTCTTTCTTAATTGCAAGGAGTCCCGGGCCAAAACAGGCTTCCAGGGTCTGGGCGAGACCAGCCCTAAACGCACCTGACGTCTGGATGTCTCAATGCAGAAAGAGCCCAGGCCCCCTCTCTTCCCCCCCGCCCTGTGAGGTCACTCTTCCTTTTCGATGTGCATGCAACGTTTATTTTGGGACGCCTGCTCGGTGGCAGCTTTGTAAAGGTCAAAAGGACACTGTACCCCTAAGTCCGCGCGTGGGGGTGCGGGCGGCGTGGGCGGCGGCGGGAGCGCCGGGAGTTGCGCCCAGAGCGGTCTGGGGACCCGGACGGGCGGTGTAGCTCTGGGCTCCTGGTCATCGACCCCCTTCTCCCCTAGATGCTGCGGGCCAAAGCGCCGGCCCGGCGTCCCCCTTGGAGGGCTCGGAGGCCGAGGCGGAGGAGGAGGACGAAGAGGACGCGGGGCGGCCGCGGCGGCGGGAGCCGGCTGCGCGCTCTCCGGAGGCCCGGGCGGCGGCGCTGGCGGCCGGGCAGCGCCGCGCGGACGGCGGGGGCGGTCCCGTGGGCTCCCCGGGCTCTCCCGGCTCCCCGCGGCCCCGGCGCCGGCGCGCCGAGCCCAGCTGCGCCAAGCCGCGGCGCGCGCGCACGGCCTTCACCTACGAGCAGCTGGTGGCCTTGGAGAACAAGTTCCGCGCCACGCGCTACCTGTCGGTGTGCGAACGCCTGAACCTGGCGCTGTCTCTCAGCCTCACCGAGACACAGGTCAAAATCTGGTTCCAGAATCGCAGGACCAAGTGGAAGAAGCAGAACCCGGGCGCCGACGGCGCGGCGCAGACCGCGGGCGGCCCGCCCCAGTCTGGGACGCCCGGGGCCGCGGCGGGGGCCGGCGGCGGCGCGGGGGGCAGCCCAGGCCCTCCGGGCCCCGGCGCGCTGCCCTTCCAGACTTTCCCCTCCTACTCGGCGGCCAACGTGCTCTTCCCGGCCGCTGCCCCCTTCCCGCTGGCGGCGGCGGCCGGGAGCCCCTTCGCGCCCTTCCTCGGGCCCTCCTACTTGGCCCCCTTCTACGCCCCGCACTTATGAGCCCGGAGCTCATCGGGGTGCTCACGGCGTGGGGTCTCGAGGCGAGGGATCGGCAGGGCCGTGGGCCCCTCCACGGAGGACAACGACGCGCTCGGGGATCTGCGCGCCCCTTCCCTTCCCGCCGCCGGATACGCCGGCAGAGGGCGGGAGCAGCCTTGGTCGCGTCCGGGCCTCAGAGGGTCAAGGATGCGTCCGGTGTGAACGCGTCGGCAGTCGGAGGCTGCCCTCAGACCCTTCTCTCTTCCAGGCAGGCTTAATTCGGTTCCAGGGCTTTTGGGGGAGGTCTGGGTGTCCGGGGTGGGGCCAGCAAAGGTGCCAGGATGGAGACCCGAGGGAGCCGCGACGTCCTGCGCACCTGGGGTGGAGTCAGCGAATGGCTCTCGCGGAGGGTCCGGCGCTTTCCCCTGCCCTCCTCACGCCGGCACCCAGCGACTGCTCGCAGAGCCCAGGCAAAGCCCAGGAGGAGTCGGCCGACAGGCGCACCCTGCTCTGGGGAATCGAGTGTTTCTAGATCTCCGTTTAAGATGTGGACTCGAGCCAGACACGGGTGCTGGCTGCACCTGTCACCGGAGGCGCAGGTGGGCGCAGGGCAAAGGATAAGGAAGGGCGCCAGGGCTCCCCCACGAGTGTCACGGGGCCCAGACACCAGGCTGCCGGTTTGGAGGCGCCTTGTTGGATGTTTGATACTTCAGTCCAGGGATCCCCAGGAGATAAGCAGGTTGGGGAGAACCAGCTGTGGCCACACCCACCAGTTTTTTTTTTCTTTATTACTATTTTTAAAAAGCACAAACTTTACATTTCTGCATCGCATCTAAGAGTCTGACCTGAAAGTAATTTTTGTTCCAGACTCCTCCTGAGAGTGAATAAACAAGTTTGTTAGGAAAGGAATTATTCTCGGGTGTTCAGAGCTGTGGCAAATCCCAGAAGCACGTGCACAATGGATCCAACCGTGGGAACTGTGTACGTGGGCGTTCTGCTTCTATCAACCTCCCTTTAAAAATGAAGATTAAAATCCTGTAAATTTCCCTTGCCAGTTTTGTTTGACCACTCTTCCGTTAGATTTCTCTGTGAAGTGCTCTTGGGGCCCAGGTCTCAAAACCCAGGTGTCCCCAAGATGCCAGGCGCGTGCTAGTCTCACCTCGACGTCCCGAGCTCAGCCACTACTTGCAAGGACACCATATACCCTGGCTATTTTCTGACAGCCTGTGCCATTAATAATTAACTTTGAGGCTCAAGTGTTTTCAGAGTCAAAGCAGGTGGTTTGGTGTTAGGAACACATTATGTTATTGTTATATTGAAATGTCTAGTTCTGTTATTTTCAAGAATGATAGAAAATATCACCTTTCCCAAACTCAAGGGAGACTAACCATTCATGTGGCACCCATCAGATTAATGAGTGTGTATTATTAAATGATGCATTATTTGCTAGTTAGACTCCTTTCCATCTAATTTAAAGAGGAAAAATGTCCCCAAACTACACACTATAACTTTCTAAAAGAAAAAAAAAAAGGATGGTGCCAGGTGAGATTAAAAATTAGGTTGCTGTCATAGAGAATATTGTGTTCTTCACCTCCCTTGTTGGGAAGCCCTCTGGGGACTATTTGCCGGTTTCTCAAAAGCAGCATCCCGTGTATGTGGACAGGCAGCTCACCTGCGCGCTCACCGGCAAGCTGCAATGGGAGGGCCAGAACGTCAGACTTGAGAGGGAGGGTGTGGGGGCCCCATCTGTCCGTGACCAGCGTTTGTGCTGTGGTTCCTGACTTCTCCAGGTTGTCACAGGCTAACACTTGGGCCTGTGACTAGACTTCTGTTCTCAAAGTCCCGGCGGCTTTTCAACCAAATCCTCAGATGCAATCTATCAGTGTGTTTGTCTAATAAATTCTTTTTATAATGAATTCTTGTTTAATTACTCTTTGTTTTCTATTAGTAAAGCAGGTTTTTTTTTTGACTGTCCAAATTTTTTTTGGAATATTTTAAATTTTAATTTTTAATGAGTGCTTCAGCAAAGCTTTTGAATGACTTTGCATTTATTAGGGGATGGATCCGTGCCTGTCACCTTCTCCCACCAGCACTCACTCACCGTGGACTATGTGTGGCCTGGCACCACTCCTTTTCAGTGTGCCGGATTCACACAGAGAGGCTGCCTTGCAGGCCCTGTGCTCACGCACACATTGAGGGCACAGCGTCTGCACAGAGTGGATGTCAATACCTACTAGGTTTTCAAGACCCTAACTTCCTACCTGTGGGGAGCAACTCGGACTAGACTAAGTTACTGGAATTAAGACTTATTCTATGCATCTGCTTTCCCACAATATGACACTGAGAAGGGAAACAGCTTCTACACAGCTGCCTCCAGTTCAACCAATAAACTGTAGGACCTGCTCCTGATTGGAGGAGAGCAGCGTACTCGGCGTGTGGGTAGCAGAGTTGGGATTGGTGGAAGAGGACTATAAAGGAGGAGAGAGACAACATGCACCAGGAACATCTAAGGGGAACACCTGAGGAACATCTGAGCAGCCCCCGAGAGAGCCGGCGGGTGGTGTGCCGCTCCCCCGCGAAGTGGGGAATGTGGCAGGGGGAACCGCCCTTCCACGGAGGTGGAAGGGACGGTAGCCAACCCGGGAAGAACCAGCAGCAAACCCGGGGAGGGCCGAGCAGACAGAAGAACAACGCAGGGTCCTGTGTCGTTCCTCCATGAAGACGGGGAGCGACATAATGGTGCCGTGACTCGGATAGGAAGCCTAGGCAGGGTTTAGTGTCGTTCCTCCATGAAGAGGGGGAGCGACACCTACCCTGACTTTACAGGTTCTCAGTGCCCCACAAAGAACATGGGAGTAACTGTTCAGACTCAGGCTGTTCACTGTTCAAAGATTTCTGATATTAAAAATGACATTTTAGATTATTAGATAATGCGAGAGAGAGAGGGAGAGAGAACACTCATCTCCTTATTCACTCCCCCAAATGCACTTAACAGTAGGATAGTCCCAAGCCAGGAGTTGGGAACTTAATCCAGGTCTCCCGAATGGATGACAGGGACCCCACCTAGTTGAGCCGTCACTTGCTACCTGCTAGTGTGCACTTCAGTAGGAAGCTGGACCGAGGATCAGAGCCTGACCTGAACCCAGGCCCAGGCACTCCGGGATGGGATGTGGGCACCCTAAGCACGGTGCCAAATGTCCAACCTGTAACATGGCCACACTAGACCCCACTTGAAGCCATGTAGGCAGGGAGCTGTATTTCAGGGAGTCAGTGGAGGGAATTCCTTTAGCTTCCAGAATCCCAACCCATTTTATGGGCATCAATTAATTTAGTATGTTTATGTGTTTTAGAAATAAATCTTAAGAACTCTAATTTGTGGGGAGCAATCCGGACTAGACTAAGTTACTCGAATTAAGACTTATTCTATGCATCTGCTCTCCCACAATATGGCGCTGGGAGAGAAGTAAACAGCTTCCGCACAGCTGCCTCCAGTTCAACTAATAAACTGTAGGACTTGCTCCTGATTGGAGGAGAGCAGCGTACTCGGCGTGTGGGCAGCCGAGTTGGGATTGGCGGAGGAGGACTATAAAGGAGGAGAGAAACGGCATGCACCAGGAACATCTATGGGGAACATCTAGCTGAAGGGAACCCGTGCAGCCCCCGAGAAGAGCCGGCCGGTGGTGTGCCACTCCCCTGCGGAAGTGGGGAATGTGGCCAGGGGGAACTGCCCTTCCACGGAGGTGGAAGGGATAGTAGCCAACCCGGGAAGAACCAGCAGCAAACCCGGGGAGGGCCGAGCAGACGAAAGAACAGCGCAGGGTCCTGTGTCGTTCCTCCACGAAGAGGGGGAGCGACATAATTTACTAGCTTTATTCTTTTTTTTTTTTTGAGGTTTATTTATTTATTTGAAAGGCAGAGTTAGAGAGAGAGAGAGAGGTCTTCCATCCACTGGTTTACTCCCCAAATGACTGCAACGGCCAGGGCTGGGCCAGGCCAAAGCCAGGAGCCAGGAACTTCTTCTGGGTCTCCCAGGTGGGTGCAGGGGTCCAAGGACTTGGGCCATCTTCTACTGCTTTCCCAGGCCATAATAGAGCTGGATTGGAAGTGGAGCAGCTGGGACTCAAACTGGCGCCCATATGGGATGCTGGCACTGCAGACAGTGGCTTTACCTGCTATGCCACAGCTCCTCCCTTACCTAGCTTTTGAAATTAAGGATAGGGTGGGCATTTGGCACAATAGTGAAGACGCTCCTCAGGACACCTGCATCCCATATCAGAGTGCCTGTGGAGTCCCCATTCTGCTTCTGATCCACTTTCCTCTGCTGTGCACCTTGGGAGGCAGCAGGTGGTGGCCCAAACACCTGGGGTCTCTGCCACCCATATGGGAGACCTGGATTGGGCCTGGCCCAGCCCTGGCTATTTGTTGCAAGCACTTGGAGAGTAAAACAGTAACTGGAAGATCTCATTTTGCTTTCCAAATAAAATGAAGACAAATAGCAACAAATTTTAAAACAAAATAAAAAAATTCCAAGTGGGGTAATATTAGAAATTCTTCCACAAATGCTAAATGCATTTAAAAGTGTAACCTGATAGTCAGGTGAAGACTAGTATCTAACACTCAAAGATATGGGAAGACACAGGATGGGAAGAGAAATAAACAGGTACGCGTTGTGGCGTAGTGGGCAGAGCTGCCACCTGTGACACTGGCATTCCCTATCAGAGCCCCTGCTTCTGATCCAGCTTCCTGTTAATGTGCCTGGGAGGCAGAAGATGATAACCCAATTGCTTGGGTTCCGGCCACTCACCTGAGAGATCTGGATGGAGTTCCTGGCTCCTGGCTTTGACCTAGCCCAGCCCTGGCTATTTTGAGTAACTTCTGCCATTCAAATAGAGTGTGTGTGTGTGTGTGTGTGTGTGTGTGTGTGAGAAAAACAGTGTCTTAGAGCCAGAGGAGCATTCTGCAAGCGACACAGGGAGGGAGAGCACTGAGGAGAGGGTTAGAGCCACCCTGTGGGGTGGGGGTGGGGGTCAGCCAGAGAAAGCCCCCCCACACACACACCGAGCCCTCCTTGGGGTTCGAGTTGTGACAGGAGAGCCCAGTGCTCAACACCTGCCCAGGCCCTGACTGCGGCCCGCAGAGGACTTGTGACCCTGGAAAGTTGCTGGCATCTTGGGGCCTCAGCGTCTCCCCTGTGTGCCCACCTGAAGATGCTGGAGGGGACAGCAGAGGACATGTGGAGGGCTCTTGGCTTAGTGCCAGGCACAATGGCAGCAGCCATTATTCCAGCGCAGTGCAAGCTGGAAAAAGAAGTGAAAAATGCGGCACTGAGGGACCAGCACTGTGCAACGGGTTAAAATGCCTCCTAGGATGCTGTCATCCCACATGAGTGCCGGTTTGAGTCCCGGCTGCTCCACTTGTGATCCAGCTCCCTGCTACTGTGCCTGGGAAAGCCGCAGAAGATGGCCCAAGTGCAGGGGTCCCTGTACCCATGTGGGAGACCCAGATGGAATTATTAGCTCCTGGCTTCAGCCTGGCTCAGCTCTGGTCATTGTGGCCATCTGAGGGGTGAACCAGCAGATCTCCCCCCTTTCTCTCTCTGTAATGCTGCCTTTCGAGTAAGTAAATACATCTTTTGGAAAATGTTGTACCGAGCTCAACCACCTTATTTTAAAAAATGCTTTGCAGTGGAATAACATTCAGAAAACCTGATAAATGTGGTGCATGCGCTTCTCACAGTGGCACACCTGTAACCAGCACCCAGGTCAACAAACAGCACTGCCAGAGCGCCCCCTTGTGTCCCTTCTAGTAAGTACCTCTCCCAAGGGGAGCCGTGATCCGGACTGCTACCAGCGTAGATGGAACTGTGTTCGGTTTTTTGCTTTGTGTTGATTCTAAAAGCTGACGCAGACAGCATATACTCTTTCCTGTCTAGGTTTTGCTGCTCAGCATTATCTATGGGGCTCAGCCACACTGTCGTTTATGACTGAAGATTCCTTATGGGTGTTCCTGTTGGTTTTTATCATACAATAAATGCCACAACTTATCACCCATTCCACTGTCCCTGGGTAACTGGCTACTCTCCAGTTTGGGCAGTTATGACTCAACAGTCTCACACACGTATTTTTGTAGGTATTTCTTCGTGTTCCCATTGGTGGACTACCCAGGAGTGGGCTTACTGGGTATGAATGCATCTGGCTTTAGTGGACATCGCCACAGCTGCAGCCGTTTAAATCCCCACCTGCCCTGAAGCAGGACCCCAGGTAGTCCACATCCGCAGCCTTCAATGATTCTGGGAGGTCGGCAGTAGTGGCACATCGTGGTTTTAATGTCCACTTCCTGAGTAATGATGTTGACTATGTCTCCATAGGCCTATTGTCCACTTACTTGAGCATTTCAAATATTTTTCATTTATTTTTATTTGAAAGGCAGAGAGATATTCCATGTGCTGGTTCGCCCCCCGCATGCCCCAGGAGCCTGGGATGCCATCCAGGTCTCCCACGTGGGGAGCAGGGACACAGCTCTTTGTTCCATCGCCTGCTGTTCCCAGAGTGCATTGGCAGGGATCCAAACCAGGGACTCTATCCAGCGTGGAACGTGGGTGTTCCGGGTGGCGACTAACCACCGTCCCTCTCCATGAGTGTTTTGAAGTACCCTGGTATGGGGTCCCCATATTCCTTCCTTGGTACAAACATTCACTGGGCACCTGCTGTGCCCGCCAGGCACACCCTAGGATCTGGGCATGCGACATGGATCCTGGCTCAGCGCTGGTGACAGGTGCTCCGGTGAGTGTGTGTGTTTGGGGGGGTCACAGACAGGTATACACTGGACCAACAGAGTGTAGAAACTGCCGTGGATTTCCATACAAAGTTCCATGGCCTTTGGCACCGCTGTCACCAGCCATTCAGGCTGG